AGGGAGGATGAAGACTTGGTGATGGGCCAAGGGAGGAGGGGCCAAAGAATTGAGGGAGGATGAAGACTTGGTGATGGGCCAAGGGCTAGGTGGGTGATTTCACGTGCCGCAGTAGTTTAAATTGTTTAAGCACAAAAGTAAAGGAGGTTCTCTTGGGCAAAAAGAGGCCAGGCTAGGTGAAGTCAGACTAGAGAGAGGAGGTGTGGAATCACTTCTGCCCGAGGACTGCTTACATCCAGCCCCCTAAGGTAAGAGGAGAAAGGAAAACAGAAAACAAGAAGTGTTTCCTGTAAGGTCAGCATCTTGCCTCATGGGAACGGCGTACTTTGTGCCCGTGCCCAGGCAGAGGCCGCTCCAAATGTATACCCCTACCAACTGGTGTCGAGAAGCCTAAATCATTTCTACCCCATTCAGTGCAGACCACAGCGAGTTTTACTTGCTTTGATTTCCAGGTTTTTATTTTGTTCCCTTTCAACCTCGAGTTAACGACTGAAAACATCAGACACAAAGGGACATAAAAGGGAAAGACACTCTATTTCATCATTAGTTCAGCCTTCCAGGAAATAGGACCACTAACAACTACAATAAGCCTTCAGCAGCCTTCCCCTCCACGCCTCACCTCCTGCTTCCACTGGGCCAATGAGGGGCCATTGACATCCCCTGCAACAACTGAGTTCAATCCTGTGCGCTTGACATCCCAGACAATAAAAAATAAATTGCTACCTATTCTTCACTTCACCTCAGAGTCCTCTTCCCAAGAAGGAGCCAAAAACGAAAAAAAAAAAAAAAAAAAGAAAAAGCAAGCCAAGTCTTTGGTCTTCTCCACTGTGGTGTTACGACATAGACTGATGGAGAAGAATTATTTGTCTAATATTTTGACGACTACTTCCTTGTCTGTATATGTTATTACAATAATCATAAGACAGTACTAGATCTGGGTTTCTGTATAAATGAATCTTTGGTTGGAGAATTAGTGAGGTGAAGAGAAAACTGGAAGTATTTTTCTGTCTAAATCATCTGCCTTCATGGGCCCCTGATAAGTGCCCCGTTTACACATCCCCCACCTTCAGCTCCTCTCAGATGAACCTGCCTTACACGGTCCCACAAATGGCAGGGGACAGGTGTGCCACACACCAGCTGCCTTTACTTTAAAACAGCAAAACTTATTTTAACACCAATTGTCCTGGATAGCTTCAACTGTCAACTTGGCCACTATACAATTATCTAGCGAGAGAATCTCGTGTGTGGAATTGTCTACATCAGACCATTCCTGTGGGCACATCCTTTGGGGATCATCTTAACCATTGACTCTTGTAGGAGTGCCCAGCCTAGTGTGAGCAGAACCATTCCTAAGCAATTGGCTCTGGTCTGTGTAAGAACGCTGAGTACAAGCCTGCCTGGCAGCCAGCAAGCATCCTCCTCCGTGGTTCCCAGCACACCTCTTTGCCTGCAATGTGAATTCCTGGGTTGGAGCTAATGCTCTTTGGAATATCAAGCACATCTTTCTTCAAGTGCTTGCCAGATTCCTCCCCTCAGCAGTGGACAGTACCTGACGCTATAAGCTAATAGATGCCTCTCCTCCCCTGGGTCGAATTTAAATCACGGTATCTGTCACAGCCGTAGAAGTCAGAGCACCAGAACTCTTAACAGATACCACCATGCGGCTGTCTGGCTGCATACAGCATCCTGCAGCAGGAGACAGTGACCTTAACTCTCCGAATTTCCCCCGCCATGGCCTGCTTTTCACGGCTTCCTTTGGCCTCTTTGGCTCGTCCGTTCCCCTTCTATTTCAAATCCTTTATCTTTCCTTTTGCAGATCAGCGTTCTTTAGAAGAAACCAGAACATTCTAGGTGAAGAGTGTATCCTTTGTGAGACAGAAGAAATCTCTCAATTGCATCTTTTCCTGTAGTCTTTCTAGGTCATGGACTGCAGCGAGATGGGTTGATAGCG